TTCAAAGTTCTGGCTCACCCACGTACACAAAAATCTACCTTTAATTATCTCTGATTTTTATTTGCTGACTCTGTGAAAGAAATATAATAGTTTCTTCATGAAAATAAGGGAAGCTTAAATGCAGTAATAAATGAAAGTTCTTTGTTGGTAATAAAATATACTGAATATATGATTCTGTTGTTATAAATTCCATGGTAATTTTGCAGCTGTTGTTAAGAGTAAAACAAGTGAGAGTGAGGACTTAATAGATTGCCCGTAAGCTGCTGCTTAGTGGGATATAGCACAAGCAGAGCTTTCCTGCATTCTCACCTGAAATGACACAGCAGAGGGTCTTCACAGACCTGAGAAGTTCTCTTTTTCTCGGACCCGATTTGTTTCTTGCCTAGAGTTATCCTCATCCCCAGGTTCTACTAAAGATGAATGTGAGAGTTAGAGTTCACTCTGAAATGCTCTCATTCCTTCCATAGGCCAAATCCCAGATCTTGTCTTTTAGAGCTAGGGAAAAAATATGTCGATGCATCTAGAATTAAAATTTCTTGCTGATATTTTGTTCAGAGGTAACAGAAGTCTTAGTGTGGCTCAAGCTGTGCAACAAAACATAAATTCCTAAGTAGAACTGTGTATATTTGCCCATCTTATTTATGACAAAAAAATTCAATAGAAAGAGGCATTTTCAGATTCAATAAGGGTTCATAACCCAACACCACATGTGTCATCTGCCCCCAGCAATGCCAGAAGTAATCCCTGAGCACAGAGCCAGAAGTAAGCCTTGAGCACTGCCAGGGGTGGCCCAAAAAACCAAAAAGCAGAAAAAAACAACAACAGGAAGTACTCCTAACAAATCAGCAGGATAACTCAGTAGGGAAAAAAAGACAAACATGTGAACACCTTTTGGAAGAGAGCACAAAATGATAAATACATGTTTTTAAAAGATTTCAATTTAATCATTTTCCGGAGGAATACTGACTAAAACAAAGAGTGAAACAGCTACACTTCTCATAAGAATATTTGAAATGGAAAAGATGGATAATGTCAAGTCTTGTGAATGACATAAGGGTAGTCAAATTCTTATCCTTTGCTGATGAGAGTGTAAATTGCTAGCTGCATGTTGTGGAACTGTTTGGCAGTATCTCCTAAAACAGCGTAGAAATTTGCTGTCATCCAACAGCCCCGCTCCAGAGTCTCCATGCAGTAGAAATGCCCACAATCTCTCTCCAAAATACACACAACTAAGATGCTTACAGAGAGAAACAGGAGAAACACTATTTGTAAGAAAGGACCTGGAAAATCCCGGAAGCAAATCTCCCTCAATAGTAGGAAGCATTAATAATGGTCTATTCACATGGGGGAACATTATGAAGCTGTAAGATCTAAGTCTACATGCGTTATGTATGCATTTCAGAGTGATAAAGTAAAAGAGGTCAGACACATGCTGTTTAAAGTATAAAGTACTATTTGTATAAAGTACAAAAATGGGCAAACTGTTTTGTCAGAGGTCAGAAGAGTGATTCATGCCAGTGAAGTATCCTGATCGGAATTATCAGAAGAGGATCCTTGGAGTTATTTATTTATTTAAATTTATTTATTTAATTAATAAATAAATTTTATGGGCTGGAGTGATAGCACAGTGGGTAGGGCATTCGCCTTACAAGCGGCCAACATGGCTGACCCGAGTTCAATTCCTCTGCCCCTCTCAGAGAGCCCGGCAAGCTACCGAGAGTATTTGATATGCCAAACACAGTAACAACAAAGTCTCCAATGGAGACGTTACTGGGCCCGCTCGAGCAAATCGACGATCAACGGGAGGGCCTATTTAATTTTATTGAATCACCATGAGATAGTTACAAGCTATCATATTTGGGTTACAATCACACGATGATCAAACACCCATCCCTCCACCAGTGCACATTCCCCACCACGAATATCACCGGTCTACCCACCCTTTCCACCCTCCCCCTGCTTCCATGACAGATAATATTCCCCATACTCTCTCTCTACTTTTTGGCATTATGGTTTGCAATACAGACACTGAGAGGTTATCATGTTTGGTCCTTTATCTACTTTCAGCACACATCTCCCATCCCGAATGCTTCCTCAAGCCATCATTTTTTTAGTGATCCCTTCTCTATTCCAGCTGCCTTCTCCCCTTTGCTCATGAGGCAGGCTTCAAGCTATGAACCAATCTATCTGTCTCATGTACCATGTATCTGCTATCCTTAGATGTCAGTCTCATGTTATGTTGTTTTATATGCCACTAATGAGTGCAGTTCTTCTATGTCTGCCCCTCTCTTTCTGACTCATTTCACTTAGCATGATACTCGCCATGTCTATCCATTTATAAGCAAAGTTCATGACTTCATCTCTCCTGACAGCTGCATAGTATTCCACTGTGTAGATGTACCAAAGTTTCTTTAACCAGTCATCTGTTCTAGGGCACTTGGGTTGTTTCCAGATTTTGGCTATTGTGAACAGTGCTGCAATGAACATATAGGTACAGAAGTCCTTTCTACTGTGCTTTTTTGCATCCTCAGGATATATTCCAAGAAGTGGTATTGCAGGGTCATATGGAAGCTCAATTTTTAGTTTTTGAAGGACTGTCCATATTGTTTTCCAAAAAGGTTGGACTAGTGGGCATTCCCACCAACATTGAAAGAGTGTCCCTTTTTCCCCACATCGACGCCAGCACTGGTTGATTTTGCTCTTTTGAATGTGTGCCAGTCCCTGTGGTTTGAGATGATATCTCATTGTTGTTTTGATTTGCATCTCCCTGATGGCTAGCGATGTGGAGCATCTTTTCATGTGCCTTTTGGCCATTTGTATTTCTTTTTTGAGGAAATTTCTGTTCATTTCTTCTCCCCATTTTTGGATGGGGTTGGAGGTTTTTTTCTTTTACAATTCTACTATTGTCTTGTATATCTTGGATATTAATCCTTTATCAGATGGGTATTGGGTAAATCTTCTTTCCCATTCTGTGGGCTCTTTCTGTTTTTGTTTTTTTGTCGCTGTTTCTTTTGAAGTGCAGAAGCTTCTTAGTTTGATGTAGTCCCATTTCTTTATGTTTGCTTCCACTTGCATGGTCAGTGCTGTTTCATCCTTAAAGATGTTTTTAGCTTCAATGTCGTGGAGAGTTCTGCCTACATTTTCCTCTATGGATCTTATGGATTCATGTCTGATATTGAGGTCTTTAATCCACTTTGATCTGACTTTTGTGCCTGGCATTAGACAGAGGTCAGAGTTCACTTTTTTGCAGGTAGCTATCCAGTTTTCCCAGCACCACTTGTTGAAGGGGCTTTCCTTGTTCCACTTCACATTTCTTGCTCCTTTGTCAAAGATTAAGTGGTCATAATGACAACTGCTTTGTAGTATAGTTTGAAGTTGGGGAGGGTGATGCCACTCATCTTCTTTTTCCCAAGGATCGTTTTAACTATTCATGGGAGTTTATTGTTCCATATGAATTTCAGGAGTGTTTTGTCTAATTCTTTGAAAAATGTCATGGGCATCCTGATAGGGACTGCATTGAATTTTTATACTGTTTTCGGCAGTTATTGTCACTTTGATAATGTTAATCCTCCCTATCCATGAGCAGGGGATGTGTCTCCATTTCCTAGTGTCCTCTTTTATTTCTTGAAGTAGTGTTTTATAATTTTCCTTGTAAAGATCCTTCACCTCTTTGGTTAAGCTGATTCCAAGGTACTTGATTTTCTGAGGTACTATTGTGAATGTGATTGTTTTTTAATGTCTATTTCTTCTCTTTTGTTATTTGTATATAAGAAAGCCATGGACTTTGGGGTGTTGATTTTGTAGCCTGCTACTTTACTAAACCGACCTATTGTTTGTAGGAGCTTTTCTGTAGAATTTTTAGGGTTTTCTAAGTATAGTATAATATCGTCTGCAGATAGTGATAGCTTGACCTCTTCCTTTCCCACCTGTATTCCCTTGATACCTTTCTCTTGCCTAACTGCAATGGCCAGGACTTCCAGTACTAAATTGAATAGGAGTGGCGAAAGTGGGCAACCTTGTCTTGTGCCCGATCTTAGAGGGAAGGCTTTTAGTTTTTCCCCATTGAGAATGATACTTGCCAAGGGCTTGTGGTAGATGACTTTGACTATATTGAGTAAAGTTCCTTCAATGCCTATTTTGCTGAGAGTTTTCATAATAAACGGGTGCTGGATTTTGTCAAATGCTTTCTATGTGTCTATTGACATGATCATATGGTTTTTATCTTTTCTTTTGTTGATATGATGGATCATGTTGATTGATTTCCAAATGTTAAACCATCCTTGAATCCTGGGATGAATCCTACTTGGTAATAGTGTATGATCTTTTTGATGAGTTGTTGGATTCTATTTGCTAATAGTTTGTTAAGGACCTATGCATCTGTCTTCATTAGGGATATCGGCCTGTAATTCTCTTTCTTTGTGGTATCTCTGTCTGCTTTGGGTATCAGGGTGACATTTGCTTCATAGAAACTCTTCAGAAGTGGTTTTGATCCTTAAGTTTCGTGGAAAAGCTTAAAGAGAAATGGTAGTAAGTCCTCTTTAAAGATTTGGAAGAATTCACTACTGAATCCATCTGGGCCAGGACTTTTGTGCTTGGGGAGACTTTTTATTACTGTTTCAATTTCCTTCATGGTGATAGCTCTGTTCAGGTATTCCAGGTCTTCTTGGTTCAGCCTTGGGAGGCTATAGGAATCTAGGAATTTATACATTCATGGAGTTTTTTTTAAACCTGGCTTCTGCTTGCCTCAGGTGACTTCAGTTTGTGGAAAATTTATTCATCATATCCAATATTATGACATGTATACTTTTTTTTTTGCTGTGTGTATGTTTATGATAACTATCTTCACATTCTAGCCATATTGCGACTAGAGTTTCAAGTCCCAGGTTCCCTGGGATGCTGGATAGCTTAATATCCTTTGCGTGAATCTTCCAACTCACTCTGGCCGAGCTGTTTGAGGTACAATTTATTAATTACAATATTTTTCTTTCTCTTTATTTCAGGGCCCTCCCGGCATGAAAGGTGACAAGGTAAGAAAATGCACAGCAGAAATGTGTGAAGATAGTGAAAATCCCTGTTGAGAGGACCTGTACTATTTGCATCTACCAAATGGTATTTTTATCTTTCTAGTGAGCATCACGTGCTTTGTGCTAAACAATAATTTTCTCTTCCTTCCTGCCCTGTAGGGAGAACAAGGTGATCAGGGACCTCGGGTAAGTTTCACTTTTCCCATCCTGGGCAGAAAATTAATTTTGAGTCCCAAACTTATGAAACTGAAGTAGCCCCAGCTTCATAAGTGTCATTGTGTCATGTGATTCTGTTGTTGCTGGGAAAATTACTATACCACTTGTAAGTGGAAGAGCCTTAAAAATAATGAATGTGGATATCCTGTGCATGATCTTAACCAGAGAAGATTCACAGAAATCAATCCCACTGATTAAGAGCCAGAAGCATGACAGAAAGTCAACCACCTCTATGTTCACTGTTGTTCGTAAGGTCTTCAGATTTGCATATTTCATTTCGTAATATCTAGGCCATGTGGATTCCCACTGAATTTTGGCCTTTTACTGCAGTTAAACTTTATGTGCTATTGCATAAATATGTTATATTACAGATGAAAATATTAATGCATTTTAAATGTGTGTTCTTCATCTCAAGTTTGAATGCTACTTATTTAAATTTCTTATTTTCATAGGTTCTTAAGTAGATAAAAGTTGTGAGATAATTCAGCATTCCGAGGAGGAAGGGGATTCTTTGACTTCTCAAATGTGGCTCGTTTCACCATTCTAACACAATGGTGAATGCTTTGTTGTTACCTTGGTAGTGCCAAGTCCTTTCCTTCACATCTGTGCCTTATTACCCAAATGTTCAGACATACTGTTCCAATGATGTAGGGGCTCTGTTCAGACATACCTCTCAATTTTCTCATGTCACTATGCTCAAAAGTGAGTATTTGGTTAAAGAGAGTTCTTTTTTTACAGTGGAAAAGCACATTTAAAGCTTTCAGGTTGAAAACAGAAACTGTCATGTTTTCAGTGACATGCACAGATATGTCATTAGTTATTGAATTCATTTTTGCCACAGTAAAGATTTGATTGCAAAGGATCTAGTCATTGCAGATATGATCATGTTATCACTTCATGTTTATTAAACTAGGTAAAGGTTACGCTGTGATTTGCCTTCCTTTCTGTGCTTCAACCTTTTCTTCAGATAGAAATGATTGTGCCTCAGAGCATTTCTTTCTTCACAGCAGTTATTCCCGCTGATGACTAGCTTCAAGCTAAAAGCTCATCCTTATGGTCAAGGAGATTAACCATCATATCTGTCATGAACATGACTCTAATAAATTCTCCTACGCTTAAATGATTAGAAGAGAGCCACTCTGTATGTGGTGATTAGTTCACATGGTATGTCTCTGTGAATCGAATGTCATTTCTTTCTACACACAATATCAAAATAACTGTTTGCCCCCACTCAGGTAAGAGAGAAACTTTTTGCATTCTGAGAAGTCTTCTTTTGGCAAAGGAAGTGAGGGGGTGGTTCACAGCTTAGCTGTCATCGGTATGCATGCAGTCCTCATTTTCAAAAGGTGTGTTGGCTTTCATCGTTCCAAAAAGTGATGATGGATTATAAAGCGAGGCCAGAATTTCAGAATGAAACCTGAAACCAAGTGAAATTCACCTGGTTTTATGTTGCATCACAAACGAAGACTTGGACCAGGTTCCCCGAAAGTTTGGCCAAAGTTCATGAACTACTTTGACGAACCCAGACTGTCTTTCATACAGATTTCAGCCAGTTTTCACACTGACTGAAGCCAAGTTCCAGGTGATTCAGGTCCTATTTAGCATTTCAGGTGGAAAGTCTTCAAAATTGATCCTATTTTTCCCTGAATTTTGCTTTGTATTGGAGAAATTACATTTACTTTATAATTCAGGATGAATCCTCAGGGGTAAAAAAAATCTAAATTTCCTGGGAAGTACCTATTTGAGAGGGTGAGGAGACCTACTGGATTTCCTTCCTGTCTTTTTTTTTATATCCCAATTTGGAAATAAGCAGGTCAGTTGTGGTGTGCTAAGAGTTTGATAAATATAAATATCTGAAAAGTTAATATTAGTTACTTACAAAGGCCCTTATCATTCCAAGATAACAAAGTTATGGTTTTACACACACACACACACACACAAAGAATAGAGCATAAGTTAGACTGGAAACGTCTTCAATTTTAATGGAAGTTAACCCACAGTTGTCTTCCTAGACACATTCTCCCAAAGATGCTGGTGGAGAATCTCTCTCCCATGAACTTTGTACTGAAGTATCCTGTTCATTTCATCCTATCTTGATTTGGGGGGATGTTTATAGGGGCCACACCTGGCACTACTCTGAGGTTACTCCTGGCTTGGCACTCAGAAATCACTCCTAGTAGTGCTCAGGGGACCATATGGGATGCCAGGGATGGAACCCTAGTGGGTCATGTGCAAGACAAGCAGCCTAGCACTCTGGCCCTCCAATATTGAATTTAAATTCTACTTTTCCACTCATTACAAGCAATTTATTTCCTCCTATAATTAACACAATGACCCTCCAGCTTCTTAGTTCTTTATTAGGTCACTTTCCGTTATGGCATCTTTACTATTTCCCTGAATGTGAAGTAATTAAATTTTTTGTCTTCCCAATTGTCTGTCATGAGTATATTAAGGCAAAATATGTGAGTTAAAGCAGGAAAAATGGAAGATAATACATAAATTATGAGGCTCTAACTATTTTGAAATCTTCATGCATTTAATAACAAGAGCATCTACCATACCATGTTTAAGATTACCGTGCTGAGTGCTAGAGATGGCAAACGTGTCCACTTTTTGCTGTCTTCCATCACCACCAAATTCAAGCAGCCATCATCTTAGGTTTTTTTTTATAACTATGGTAATATTCTCATTAGTCTTACTTCCATTCTTGACCCTTTTTTAGAGTCCATTTTCTGCATAGCTGAGAGATCATTTTTCATTGTAAAGTAGATCACGTTTCTCCATGTTTTCAACCTTAGAATGAAATCCACTTCTCATTATTTGACTCGCTGGCCCGTCAAGGCCTGAGCTTGCCTATGTGTGTGATTTCCCCTTTCCTCAGTCTTCCCCTCCACACACTGAGCTCCAGCCTCTCTCCTTCATGTGATCTTCAAAGAGTTAGTCACATCAGTGGTTTCCCATTTGCTTTCTCTGATCTTCTTGTGACTCTTCTTGTGGGTCTTCTTGTTATTGCGATTCCATCCCAAATGCCTCTATAGGAAGAATTCCCCCCCAACCACCCAATCTATAACTTTAATTATCTTATTTTTCTCTTATTGACTGTCTGTGAGACATGTCTCTCCTTAGAATATGAACTCCATGGGAGCAAAGACTTGGTCTTCCTAATTTACATCACCTTCACCCACAACAGGGATAACTGGGTAAATGTTGAATGTTAAAATATTATCATTATGTACCCAAGGAAGTGATAATATTATGATTGCCTGAGTTAAAAAAAAAGATGTGGCTGCATGTGATTTTAGTAGAAATACTAGAAGAATGAGCCTCTTCCACTTTAAGTTATTTTAAATAAACAAATGGTGTCTCTAGAAGGGGTAGCACTGAGTTAGAATTAACAATTGGGAAATCTTTAACCAATAAGATGAAGAGCATGACATAACACATTCCAAGAAAAATTGATATTGCACATAAGATACAAGTAGGAAATGACAAAATGACTTTGCATTTAAAGACTAACATTTGAGAAGATAGGTTTCAGTGGAGAAAAGTGTATTATATTAAACTGAAATTCATTAAGGTCACATTATGGTCACATTAGGCTATGTAACTCTGTAACTCTGTCAGTCATTCAGAACAAGGACAATGTCCTGTCCTCAGTGGATAGGTGAAAGAGAGATAAGTTGTCTAGGTCTAGAATATTGGGTATTGTTAGAGTTGGGAGAGAATCAGCAATGGTCATTGAGCCAAAGAATAGTTCCGAAGTAGTCACCAACATTTCTCAAAAGTGCCATGTTTTCTGTGGGTAACAGGAGATGAGTCTTGTTTTCTCATATAATAAAATGTTCAGAGACTTTGATGGCATTGTTTATATAATTCACTGATATTACTACAGAAGTCTCTGTGAATCTCCTGACCTTTCCTTCATGATGGTAAAACTGACTCAAGTTCAAATATCACATCTATCTCTATATCAACAGGAAGGATAAAAGAAAAAAAAATTCCCATGACTTTCTGTCAAAGCTGACTTTTAGTTATGTTCCAGTGGCCAGACTATGTCACACAGTCACTGCACAGCTAGAAGTGAGCCAAGGAGACAGGTGGAAAAGGAAGTTGGGAAATTGGGGCCTTGTTGCCAGTGCCAAGCAAAAGTCTGCCAAGAGGGGAAACCACGGATGTCCACAGCAGAGGAGAAAAGTAGGAGAGAGAATTCTTGAAGCAGATGGGGGGGGGGGGAGATGAATTAGATCTTCCTGCTATACATATCCAAGATTGGTGGTTCTGGGAGAAGCTGGACCAGGGTAAAATTAGAGTTGCTAATAAGCAATTCTGGAATAAAATGGCAGGATATGAAGGTGGGAATTCAGCAGCAGTCTTGGTTATAGATGATTGGCTGGAGGGCCTGGTGCTGAACAAAGAAAAGAAAGATAAGGCTGGTGTTCTGGTATAATAAAAATCAGTGGTGAAGACAGATAAGTGACATGTTGAATTTTAATTCTGTCAAATTTGTGATTATGGTGAGTCCTCTCACTGCAATAATGTAGCCAACAGAAATCTGAGGCTGGAATGTTGGGGACAGTGTTCTTGGTGGAATTAACACACCACCCAATTGTCACAGAGTGAGAACAGAGACCATGGGTAAAGGGAAGTAAAAGAGTGAAGGTGGAACCACTTTTGAAATATCCAGGTGGAGCAGAGCGATAAAGGAGGTCAGGACAAGAGCCTCAAGGGAACAGCATGGCACTGCAACGCTTGAATGGAAAGGAAGGATGTCCCAGAAGCAATCAGAGTGGTCCATTGGGCTTTTTGTTGGGGGTGTTAAGCAGGTTTATTTTATTTTATCTTATTTTGTTTTAAATTATAACTGATTGGCACATGCTTTAATACCTTCCCTAACCATGTTTGAGGTCCTTCCTTCCTCAGATCCCTCTGACTCTTGATAATTGACAATAAGAACAGCTATAATAATACAA